CTGTGTTCCTATATACATTCGCATGGTGCTCGTACCTACAATTTTCAGCAGGCTTGCATTAAAAGTATGTCTCTAGGTTTTAAATTATCTGTGTGACTGAACATATACAGAGTTTGTAAACTTTAGCTTTTGGTTATAATTTGCAGAATGTTACACGAACCTAGCCTTGGCAAGCCTTTTGGGTAGAGGTTTCGGGGGATTGTAGTACAACACAAGGAATGGTCACATTTTGGCACTCCAAGTGTTTTGGACTCCAACTCCCACAATTCCTAACAGCCTAGCAGCTGTTAGGAATTGTGGGAGTTGAAGTCCAAAACAACTGGAGGGGTGGAGTTTGTCCATACCTAGTCTATATGAAAAGCAGGAGATACAGGGGAAGGAAGGGAGAAGCAAAAACTGATGGAGAGAGGGACCAAATCTGGACCCAAGAGATCTCACCCTGTGATCGGTTCCATATGAAGAGCCTGAGTTCGCTCAGGGCTTCGGTGAGATTCTGGACCTTGCCTTGAAGCTGTAGGTTCTCGCTCTGGAGCTCCTCAATGGCCTCTTGCAGCTCAAAACCATGGCCCCTTCCCCACAGAAGGGACAGGAGCAGCCAGAACCACAACGCCATCTGCGTGGCTGGCAGCCCTCCGACAGCCCCACAGTGATGAGAGGCCGCCGGGTGCACAGCGCAACTCCACTTCCCTCCCCAATCAATCAAACCACAGAGGCAATCAATCGCTTTTAATTATCTCTCTCCTTCCTGAGCTAAAGCCTGCTGGACCTGAAAGGCCTTGTGAGTAACTTTGGGTGCATCTACACTGCAGAATTAATGCAGTTTGTACCACTTCAGCTACCATGGCTCAGTGCTGTGGAATCCTAGGAGTCATAGTCTGGTGATGCACCAGTACTTTTGGGCAGGAAAGGCGAAAGGCTTTGCAAAAGCTATATCTCCCATGAGACCATGGCCTTGAGCCACAGCAGTTCAAGTGGTGTCAAACTGCATTCTTTCTACAGTGTAGATAAGGCATGGCCAAACTTTGGCCCTCCAGGTGTTTTGGACTTCAGCTCCACAATTCTTAACAGCCAGTAGTTGTACTGTGATCTATGTACACTGCCATATAATGCAATTTGAATCTGCATTATACAATCAGAGTATTTATATGTAGAGAAAGTTGGGATCTACATTGCCACATAATGCAGCTTGCGCCTGCATTATATGGTCAAGAAAGGTACATTGAACCGCATTATATGGGTTTACCCTGGCTATATATTGCAGATTCAAATGCATTACATAGCAGTGTAGATCCTGCCTTGATCGATGTCTTAGGGGATGCACCATATCCATCACTTTCAATGTCTTATTTCCCCATCTACCGGTGGCGCAGTAGGTTAAAGCGCTGAGCTGCTGAGCTTGTTGACTGAAAGGTTGCAGGTTCGATTCCGGGGAGCGGCGTGAGCTTCCGCTGCCAGCACTAGCTTCTGCCAACCTAGCAGTTCCAAAACATGCAAATGTGAGTAGATCAATAGGTACCGCTCCGGTGGGAAGGTAACGGCGCTCCATGCAGTCATGCCGGCCACATGACCTTGGAGGTGTCTATGGACAACGCCAGCTCTTCGGCTTAGAAATGGAGATGAGCACCACACCTCAGAGTCAGACATGAATTTAAGATCTTCTGGAGGGGCCCTGCTCTCGGCCCACCCTTCTCACAGATGAGATTGGCAGGGACGAGGGACAGGGCCTTCTCGGTGGTGGCCCCGTCTGTGGAATTCACTCCCCAGGGTCGTCATCCCTCCTCTCTTTCAGAAGGAAATTAAAAACATGGATATGGGACCAGATTTTTGGGTAATCTGGCAGACTGACAAGGACAATGATGACTAAAGCTTTGGAAACGGACTATGATAAGCGGAATTAATTTATTAATTACGGATTTGGTGAAACTATGGCCGCCAGGCTGGCTTTTTATTGTATTAAAGTAATGTTTTAACTGTTTATAATTATTGTTACTATGTATTTTATTGTGTTGAATTGTAGGCATCAAATGCATGCCTGTTGGAAGCCGCCCTGAGTCCCCCTTAGGGGATTGAGAAGGGCGGGGTAGAAGTACCCTAAATAAATAAATAAATAAATAAAATGATGGATCTGGACCAAACTTGGTACACATTCCCTTGGAAGTCGAAATTTGATTTCTAAGTACCACAGATACAGAACCCACATGCTCACTCCGATCATCTGGAGAGGCCCTGCTCGTGATCCCGCCCGCGTCGCAAGCGCGCTTGGTGGGGACACGAGACAGGGCCTTTTCTGTGGTGGCCCCCCGACTCTGGAACGCCCTCCCGAAAGATCTCAGACAAGCCCCTACATTGGCAGTCTTCAGAAGGAATTGAAAACCTGGCTGTTCCGATGTGCCTTTTCAGATTAGGAACCCCAGCACCAAATCCTAGAAGCACCTTAGTAGAACCAAGATCACTGCACACTGCACACCGCACTTATATTATAATCCTACATTCCTCCCGCCACATCAGCACTTTTAATCCTGTACCCCTACTCCGGCCGGCCCAGTTTTAATAGTGTCTTGTTGTATTGTTACTGTTATTGTTTTCCTGCTTAACTGTTTTTATTTTGCTTTAGGTATTGTATTGTTGTATGTGTTTTGGGGCTTCGGCCTGTGTAAGCCGCATCGAATCCCTTGGGAGATGCTAGCAGGGAACAAATAAAGTTATAATAATAATAATAATACAGAGGGCCCGTGCCTGGCCCTCCATTGTTGGTGGAATACAGAATGCTCTTTGATTGTAGGTGAACTATAAATCCCAGCAACTACATCTCCCAAATGACAAAATCGACCCAATCCCTTGTTGTTCATCCGTTCAGTTGTTTCCAACTCTTTGTGACCTCATGGACCAGCCCACGCCAGAGCTCCCTGTCAGCCGTCACCACCCCCAGCTCCTTCAAGGTAAATCCAGTCACTTCAATGATCTCATCCATCCCTTGATCGTCCCCTCTTCCTTTTTCCTTTCATTTTCCCCAGCATAATTGTTTTCTCTAAACTTTCCTTTCTTCTCATGATGTGGCCAAAGTACTTCATCTTTGCCTCTAACATCCTTCTAATGAGCAGTTGGGCTTTATTTCCTGAAGTATGGACTGGTTGGATCTTCTCGCTGTCCAAGGCACTCTCAGAACTTTCCTCCAGCACCACAGTTCTATCTTCTTTGGCTCAGCCTTCCCTATGGTCCAGTTCTCACATCCGTAGGTGACCCAACCCCACCAGTATTCAAATTTGGGCGTATCAGGTATTTGTGCCAATTTTGGTCTAGTGAATGAAAATACATCCTGCATATCAGATATTTACATCGCAATTCACAACAGTAGCAAAACTGCAGTTATTAAGTAGCAATTAAAATAATTTTCTGGTTGGAGGTCTCCACAGCATCTAATCAACTCTCAACAAAAGATTCCCCCAGGCACTGCCAAGCCATCAAATGCTAATTAAGGTGGTCAGTTGAAACATTCACACCTAGCTCCAGCAGACAAGAGTCATTTGTCCCACCCTGGTCATTCCACAGATATTTTATTTTTTATCGTGTCATCAGCAACCAGACCATTGTGTTACATTTCTAACAGAACAAAACAAACAAACAGATTAAAAAAAACAAACACAAATTTTGCAAACTTGGTAGCTGATTAAATGTCCTTTGACCAGTATCTGGCCACTTGGAGTGCCTCTGGTGTTGCCGCAAGAAGGTCCTCCATTGTGCATGTGGCTGGGTTCATTGCAGCAAGTGGTCAGTAGTTTGTTCTTCTCCGCACTCGCATGTCGTGGATTCCACCCTGTAGCCCCATTTCTTAAGATTGGCTCTGCATCTCGTGGTGCCAGAGCGCAGTCTGTTCAGCGCCTTCCAAGTCGCCCAGTCTTCTGTGTGCCCAGGGGGGAGTCTCTCATCTGGTATCACCCATGGATTGAGGTGCTGGGTTTGGCCTGCCACTTTTGGACTCTCGCTTGCTGGGGTGTTCCAGCGAGTGTCTCTGTAGATCTAAGAAAACTATGTCTTGATTTAAGTCGTTGACGTGCTGGCTGATACCCAAACAAGGGATGAGCTGGAGATGTCCCTGCCTTGGTCCTTTCACTATTGGCTGCTACTTCCCGGCGGATGTCAGGTGGTGCAATACCGGCTAAGCAGTGTAATTTCTCCAGTGGTATAGGGTGCAGACACCCCATGATAAAAGACTGGGTTGTTGTAGTTTTTTCCGGGCTATATGGCCATGTTCTAGAGGCATTTTTCTCCTGACGTTTCGCCTGCATCTATGGCAAGCATCCTCAGAGGTAGTGAGGTCTGTTGGAAGTAGGAAAAATGGGTTTATATATCTGTGGAATGACCAGGGTGGACAAAGGACCCCTGTCTGCTGGGGCTAGCTGTGAATGTTTCAGCGGATCACCTTGATTTGCATTCAATGGCCTGGAAGCACCTGGGGGGAATCTCTTGTTGACTGTTTGTTTCCCCTCTGTTGTTTTGCTGTTGTAATTTTTGAGTTTTTTAATACTGGTAGCCAGATTTTGTTCATCTTCATGGTTTCCTCCTTTCTGAGGATGCTTGCCATAGATGCAGGCAAAACGTCAGGAGAAAAATTGCCTCCAGAACATGGCCATATAGCCCGGAAAAACCTACAACAACCCAGTGATTCCGGCCATGAAAGCCTTCGACAATACACTGCACTTAGTGCTGTGGAACTGCTTGAATCCGACAGTTTCCGATTCATGGTTCGGCCTTTTCCGAACCCTCTCGGCTAAAACACGGAAACAGTCGAAGTGAGACCCGAGGTGTTCCGGAGTGAGGGAAAACCCCGCCCCCTTGAGAAACTCTTTCTGCGGCGTCGGCGAAATTACCCGAGTAGAGCGGGCTGTTTCCGAAAATACCCGATCGTTCCCGAAGCGGGGAAGTGAGCCTAGAGAGGCCATGTCAGTCTTCTACGCCCTGGAGCGGAAGAGGCGGAGAGCGGGAAGTGGGCGTGGCTTTGAGAGGGCGATAAAAGCCCCTCCCTCGGGGCCGGCCTCTCCTTTTCCGTTTCCGGTCGCGGCTGTGGGAGGACAGAGAACAGGAGGCCGCGTGTTTGCCGGGAGGTAGGCAGGCCTGATGGCGGTCCTTTTTGGATGGGTGGAGGAAGAGGAGTGGGGAGAAATTGAAATAAAAACTAGGCTCCTGTCTTCCTTGCCGACAGAGGAGGACGGTTTTCATGCGGCCAGGAAGCCCCTCCCGCCACCTTTCGGCCTTCCATTCCAGGCTGTTAGGAGTTGTGGTAGTTATTAGACCACACCTGGAATATTGTGTCCAATTCTGGGCACCACAATTCAAGAGAGATATTGACAAGCTGGAATGTGTCCAGAGGAGGGCGACTAAAATGATCAAGGGTCTGGAGAACAAGCCCTATGAGGAGCGGTTTAAGGAGCTGGGCATGTTTAGCCTAAAGAAGAGAAGGGTGAAAGGAGATATGATAGCCATGTATAAATATGTGAGAGGAAGCCACAGGGAGGAGGGAGCTAGCTTGTTTTCTGCTTCCCTGGAGACTAGGACGCGGAACAATGGCTTCAAACTACAAGAGAGGAGATTCCATCTGAACATGAGGAAGAACTTCCTGACTGTGAGAGCCGTTCAGCAGTGGAACTCTCTGCCCCGGAGTGTGGTGGAGGCTCCTTCTTTGGAAGCTTTTAAACAGAGGCTGGATGGCCATCTGTCGGGTGATTTGAATGCAATATTCCCGCTTCTTGGCAGGGGGTTGGACTGGATGGCCCATGAGGTCTCTTCCAACTCTTTGATTCTATGATTCTATTATTTATTTATTTACTTACAGTATTTCTATACTGCTTTTCTCACCCCGAGGGGGACTCAAAGCGGTTTACACATAAGTAATGGCAAAATTCAATGCCAGTACAAACAATTACAATTATACACTAAATCAAATTAAAACCATATATCCATAAGCAATAAAACAATCAAATAATAATAATAATAATAAAACTTTATTTATACTCCACCACCATCTCCCCAAGGGGACTCGGAGGCCAAGCCCAACATCACATCAGTAAAAACAACAAAGCAATAAGGAAATAAAACAACACAATTAATATAACTTACATATAGACAATAACACGCAGCGATTTGAAGTCCAAAACACACAGAGGGCCGAAGTTTGCCCATAGAATCAAAGAGTTGGAAGAGACCTTATGGGCCATCCAGTCCAACCCCCTGCCAAGAAGCAGGAATATTGCATTCAAATCACCCCTGACAGATGGCCATCCAGCCTCTGTTTAAAAGCTTCCAAAGAAGGAGCCTCCACCACACTCTGGGGCAGAGAGTTCCACTGCTGAACGTCTCTCACAGTCAGGAAGTTCTTCCTCATGTTCAGATGGAATCTCCTCTCTTGTAGTTTGAAGCCAATTTTCCGCCTGGTGTAAGGGAATCCTCGGGTTTGTAGTTTGACGAGACCATAGCGCTCTCTGACAGAGAAGCCTAAAAACATTTGAAACTGTGACTTCCAGTATCCCACAGTATTGAGCCATGGCAGTTAAAGTGGTACCCAAACTGCCTTAACTCTTCTACAGTGTGATTCCAGGACACTGGGGAGATCAGGGTTGCAGTGATATTGTATCATTAATGTAGTTTGACACCACTTTAGCTACCATGACACAGTGCTTAGGAATGGCGGTCATTCTAGTTTTGCAAAGTCTTTAACCCAGGCATGGGCAAACTTTGGCCCTCCTCCAGGTGTTTTGGACAGCAGCTCTCATAATTCCTAATTTTAAGAATTGGAAGTCCAAAACACCTGGAGGGTGGCTGAAGTTTGCCCATGCCTACTTTTACCTCTTCTGCTTTCTCGCCAAACTAAGAATCCCAGGGTTCCATAGCATTTGAGCCGGTGCAGTTAAAGTTGTGTAACATGCAATCTGTAACAACAAATACAAACACTGCAGATTGCAAATCACAATTTCTATATTACAGGAAATTCTTCATTAAACATAACGTGGGAACATTAACACGATTAATTAGTAACTGTTTATAAATGAAAGATTGTTTATCGATATTTTGTCAACACAATGAAACTTGAGCTTCCAAAATAACAATTACTATATACCAGGAGATTCTTCATAAGTACATGACGTCAGAAATAGTAACTCAAACATTGTTAAATGCAATATGATGAGATGTCATCTTTCAAAATAACAATTTCTATGTTGTAGAACAGGGGTCCTCAAACTTTTTAAACAGAGGGCCAGGTCACAGTGTTGGAGGGCCGGATTATAATTTTTTAAAAATGAATTAATTCCCAGACACTGAACATATCTTATTTGTAATGCAAAAACACTTAAAAACACTACAATAATTAAAATGAAGAACAATTTTAAAGATATAAATTTATTAGTATTTCAATGGGAAGTGTGGGCCTGCTTTTGGCTGATGAGATAGGATTGTTGTTGTTGTTGTTGTGTGCTTTCAAGTCATTACAGACTTAGGTTGACCCTAAGCGAGGCCCGGGTAATCTTGGAGGGCCGCATTCGCCCCCCGGGCCTTAGTTTGAGGACCTCTGTTGTAGAAGGTTCTTCATCAATATATAATGTCAGGATCCAGGAGAGAGTCTTTCTTCTGCCTCTTCTCTCCTTCCACAACTAGGTTCATGGCAGTTACATTATTTTATGGGCCAGATACTAGTGCCATGTTTGTGCCAGTGAGCTACAATTTTTTTTTCCTTCCCTGGAAAACGCATGAGGGAAACATCACCTGTCCAGGGACCACCACTTTGTCTGGCACTGCTGTAGTTCAAAAGGTTCTTAGATTTACAAAGGTTCCTTATAATTTATAAAGATAGTAAGTTTGACAGGTCCCCCATTTTAGGCCTGTAATCTAAAATACAATGACTAAATTGAGATACTTACAGATTGGTCAGTCCTGTCCAGTTGCATTAGGTGTGGAGGAGATAATGATGAAAGGCTGCTTCATGGTTTCAGAGCTTTTCTCAGTAAATATTCTTTAAAACTCCAAGGCTATAGTTTTTGAACAAGGTTTCCCATTTCCTTTCTTCCAGCCACACACATTTGTTGTATTAATTTGCTGTTTAGTAGATATCAAAGAGGAGAGGGAATTCTTCTGTTGGCGTTTATCAGAAGAGATGATGATGTACAAACAAAAGTTAATTTTTAGTCAGTGTATTGGGAGGCAAGGGTAGAATTTAGTGGTGAAAGAAAAATAAGAACAACATAGAAGTATACATCAATTTTGTAAGGACAAGGTAAATTAGTAAAAACTCACAGAATGCTCAATCAAAAGTTTTGATTGAGGTGTGGTAATTTGTGGGAATAGGACATACAGTATGTTATATGGCTATGACCTTTTGAGACTGATTAAAATACACAAAAATAATGAATTATTGTGTGGCTTCTTCCTGTCCAGGACTCTGCACAATGTCGGCCCATCTGCAATGGATGATTGTGCGCAACTGCTCAAGTTTCCTCATCAAAAGGAACAAGCAAACGTACAGCATGGTGAGACACAACTCCTTTCTCTTGCAAGCAAGACTCTTGACTTTTAGTATGCCTGACTAAAACCGTAATTTCTTTCCTAAGGGGTTTAGCTATCTCAGATTCTTTAACACCCCATTTTCACATTCAGTTTTTGTTTCATCCTTGAAGTAAAAAAAATATCTGAAGTTCTGATAAACGTTCTCTTTTTTTCCCCAAAGGAACCCAACAACCTTAAAGCCCGCAACTCCTTTCGCTACAATGGACTGATCCATCGTAAGACGGTTGGGGTGGAGCCAGCTGCTGATGGGAAAGGCATCGTTGTGGTCCTGAAGAAGCGTGCAGGTGGGTTTTTAAGGTCTTGAATTGAATGTCAAATTGAAGTGAGGACCCTGGGGTGCTGAATTGAAATGGCAGTTAACAAAAAATCCAATTGAAGTGAAATTTTGTTACTTTGATGGTGTAAAGCAGGGATACATAAACTTTTTAAACAGAGGGGCAGTTCACAGTCCCTCGAACTGTTGGGGGGCCGGATTATAATTTGAAAAAAGCATGAATGCATTCCTATGCACACTGCACATATCTTATTTGTAGTTCAGAAAACACTTTAAAACAACACAATATTTAAAATGAAGTACCATTTTAACAAATATAAACTTATTAGTATTTCAATGGAAAGTGTGGACCTGCTTTTGGCTGGTTGTTGTTGTTGTGTGATTTCAAATCATTTCAGACTTAGGTTGACCCTGGACGAGGGCCGGGTAAATGACCTTGGAGGGCCGTATCTGGCCCTCGGGCCTTAGTTTGAAGACCCCTGGTGTAAAGTTATGTTATTTATAGGCTTACCAGCATGCAAGTTGAATTAACCCTATCTGTGTCTTTAAATACAGAAAGTATGTTTAAGGACCACTTCAAGGCACTTGAATTTGAGCTGCCACCTCCTCAGAGATTCTTGAGTCTTTTGTCTTTGCATCCTAATCTCCTGGCTCCCTTCTTGCAGGTCAGCGGAAGCCAGCAACTTCTTATGAGAAGATCACCATCAACAAAAATGCACGTGCCACTCTCAGCAGTCTCCGCCACATCATCCGCAAGAACAACTACCGCAAGGACCTGCGCATGGTAAGACAGATCCATCTTGTTTTCTTGGTTGTTAGGTTTCAGCTGTCTTGGTAACCTCCATAATTCAGTGAGCATAGAGTAGCGGAGTATCAAACAAGAAGGGTGTTGGTTTTAATGTTTAAATTATTAAAAGCCAAGGGAAAGTTAATTGTCATCCAAGACTGAATATTTGTAATTGTGAATGAGGAATTATTATTATTTTTTCAGGCATTTCTATCCTGTCCTTCTCACCTCCAAAGAGGGACGACTTACAGCAGGCAGTCATTAGATACCAAAAAACAATACATTAAAGCAGACAGTTACAATTAACACAATTAAAACAATTATAAGCATTAAAAGTATTGTCGAAGGCTTTCATGGCCGGAATCACTGGGTTGTTGTAGGTTTTTTCTAGCTCCAGAAGCCAAGAGTCCTTTGTCCCACCCTGGTCATTCCACAGATATATAAACCCCTTTTTCCTAGTTCCAACTGACCTCACTACCTCTGAGGATGCTTGCCATAGATGCTGGCGAAACGTCAGGAGAAAATGCCTTTAGAACATGGCCATATAGCCCGAAAAAACCTACAACAACTTTATAAGCATTCAATTAAAAACAGTTCACCGGTTCAAAACATATTTATTTATTTATTTATTTCCTTCACTTCTCCCACAAGGGGACTCAGGGCGGCTTCACATAAGCATCAGTGATSCTGTCAACATATACATTCAATTAGAAACAGTAAAACTCAATTAAAACATAAAATTCATCAATAAATTCATTTAAACATTCAGTTAACATGCCGCTAAAACCAAGATCCAGCCAGATAAATCCAGTGTCGTAATGTTCAAAGTTTCCTTTCCAAGCTGCCATTGTCCTCTAGTCAACGCCTCTAGTTGAACGCCTGGTCCCACAGCCAGRTCTTCAGTTGTCTCCTGAAGGACAGGAGGGAGGTGGCCAGCCTGATGTCCTTAGGGGAGGGAGTTCCACAGATGGGGGGGGGGCACTACTGAGAAGGCCCTGTCTCTCATCCTCACTAACCACGTTAGCGARAGTGGCGGGATCGAGAGCAGGGCCTCTCCTGACGATCTTAGGCTATGTGATGGTTCATAGCAGGAGATACGTTCGGACAGGTAAATTGCAGTCCACTAAAACATTCTTTTTCCAGTTGATCCATTTATTGCACAAATGCTTGATCCCAAAGCCAGGATTTGAGTTTTTTCTGAAAGGGAGGGAGGCTACAAATATCATTGGGGAGAGAATTCCCCAATGTTTGTGTTTGCATCATTGACTATCCAGGGTGTGGTCTCATGGTAACATTGGTTATATCAGTGTATTGAAAACTACAAAAGCATTTAGTTGTAGAAGAGTACTTTTGAAAGTTGTGGTCATTGGAGAATTTCAAAGAAAGTAAAAACCCATTGTAGTCAATGCATACCGATGTGGCATATTGGGAGGAAAGTGTTGGACCCAGTTGGATTAAAATGCACAGATGTAGGCTGGATCTACACTGCGATATAATCTGGTTTCAGAATGCAGGTGAAATACTTTGAACTGGAATATATGAGTTTACACTGCCATATAATCCAGTTCAATGCAGTTAATCTGCATTCTGAATGTGGATTATATGGTAGTGTAGATGGGGTTGTAGACAACTTCTTTTTCAGCTACTTTGGAAGGATTTAGGCTATTGAAGAGATGATAGTATAGTTTGAATATCCCTGATCCTATAGTTAGGTGTGGAATGACTTGGTATACTTCAGCTTTTCTATCATCTATCATTTCTGCAGGGTAGAAGTGGTTGATTTTGAGATAATTTGTCTTTTACTAAGAAACCCATAGATTCATAACCCATCCCAGGTTCAATCCATTCACTTTTCCTCTTCCTCCTCCTAGGCTGCCTTGCGTCGCGCCAGTGCAATTCTACGCAGCCAGAAGCCAGTGGTGGTGAAGAAGAAGCGGACCAGGGCTACTAAAGCTGCATAAACAGTGGCCAGATTTTCCAATAAAGGCTCAGAACTAGATTACACGGTGGCTGAGTGATGTTAATAAATAACGTGATGGGAGGGATTTTTCTTTCTTTTCTAGAGAATATTTTAGTTGTCATTTTGTTTGAAGACTGGACCCCCCTCCAAGCACAGTTAGTTTCATAAAATTGTTAATTTGGGATTAGAGCTAGAGTAATTGATATGCAATCAAGCCTGTAAAGCTATCTTCTGTGGGTTGCTTTCTGCTATTGAAATTCCTTCAAATTGATGCTAACTTAACAGTGAACCTATCATTGGGCTTTCTAAGCAAGATTTGCTCAGAGTGGGTTTGCCATAGCTAACTCTGTGGCTGAAGCAAGGTCATCTAAGGGCTTTTCATGGTCAAGAAGGGGTTAGAACAGGGGTCCTCAAACGTTTTGAACAGAGAACCAGGTCACAGTCCCTCAAACTGTTGGAGGGCTAGATTATAATTTGAAAAAGCATGAATGAATTCCCATGCACACTGCACATTTCTTATTTGTAGTGCAAAAAACACTTTAAATGATACAATAATTAAAATGAAGAACAATTTTAACAAGTATAAACTTATTAGGATTTCAATGGGAAGTCTGGACCTGCTTTTGGCTGATGAGATAGGATTGTTGTTGTTGTGTGCCTTCAAATCGTTTCAGATTTAGGTTGTCCCTGAGTGAGGGCTGGGTAAATGACCTTGGAGGGCCGTTTCCAGCCCCAGGGCCTTAGTTTGAGGACCCCTGGATTAGAACCTTGGTCTCTCAGAATCCTTATCCAACATTCAAACTGCTCTACCACATCGTCTTTCTGTAAGTTGATGAAAGAACATTGGGAAGAACTTCCTAACTGTGAGAGCTGTTCAGCAGTGGAACTCTCTACCCTGGAGTGTGGTGGAGGCTCCTTCTTTGGAGCTTTTAAGCAGAGGCTGGGTGGCCATCTGTCAGGGATGCTTTGAATGCGATTTTCCTGCTTCTTGGCAGGGGGTTGGACTGGATGGCTCATGGGATCTCTTCCAACTCTGTGATTCTATGAGTGTGACTTGCCCAAAGTCACACACTAGGTTTCCAAAGCAAAAAGACTCGAATCCTAGTATTCTGAATCTTAATCCAACATTCAGGCCCCTACACTCTGATGACTGATGGTCTCTGTTAACTTTCCTCCCTTAATCTGTTTTTATGATTACAAAGACTACAAGCTGGTTTTAAACAAACAAACCCAAACATCCCAAGAATGAGTTCTTGTAGTGGATTTATACTTAATGCAATGTAAAATCGCTTTGTGACCCCTCCCCAAAAGAAAAGACCAAGATAACATTGTGCCATGTCTCTAGGTTGTGGTGATCAGGAAAAAAAAACTCGTTTTATTAAGGTGTTGTGATACAATACAAGCAGAATTCAACATCCATGTCCATGAAGTGGTTCTCAACCTGTGGGTCCCCAGGTATTTTTGGCCTACAACTCCCAGAATTCCCAGCCAGTTTTCCAGCTGTTGGGGTTTCTGGGAGTTGAAGGCCAAAACATCTGAGGACCCACAGGTTGCGAACCACTGAGAGGGGTTTTTGGAATATCTTATGGAATAATTGTTTAATTGCCTCTCCAACCAATAGATGGCAGTTAAGAGCTGAAGATAATTTAGATTCTGACTTACTATTTCATCCCTTCTTCCTGCCACATAACTGAATACAGAGAAGCTTATGCTTAACAGCTTCTTTCCAACACCACTTTTAACTGGCATTTATTTGGTTTGAATTGTCTCTCTGTCCTGCCATGCTGAATCTGGAACAGGCATTGCTGGTAATTCAGAAGCTGTTCTGAGCTGTCTTGACTGCAAATGTTGCGCTGTTCTGCATCCTTTAAGAGTGCATCTGTTCCCAGCCTTGCAAGCTTTTCCTTTTTATTACTTCCCCCATGTTTTAAGGTGCATATGTACTGCCGGGTGTAGGACATGAAAACATTCAAAATACACGAGATTATGATCTGTTTTCCTGCTAAAAAAAAAAGAGAAGAAGATCTGGCAATAAATGCTGAATTGCCATGTAATTTATGTCTATTGCGAGGTGAGATGTTTAGTTCACTATTGAGAGGCACTGTGTTTGGTTTTGCTAACTGCTATCAAACTGGTTTCCAAATTTTGGTGACCTGAATGAGAGACCTTCAAGTGACCTTGTCATCAACATGTCTTGCAGAATGTTGATGATAATAATAAATATTAAAATTTTATTTATACCCCGCTCCATCTCCCCCAAGGGGACGCGGTGCGGCTTACATGAGGCACGCCCATCAGTACATTACACAAACAATATAATACGAGAACATAATAAAACCAAAAAATAAAATACATAAATGTAAAACAATATAATAGCAACACAACAATATAAAACCAGACATTAAAACACAAACGATTTCATTGGGCAGGGCCAAATTCAGGATAAAATTATAAAAGTTTAAAACACTGGGAGATAGGACAATGATTCCTTGATCGCATCAAGCATATATAATACAGTCTTCTACTGCTTTCCCCTTTGCCAAGCTTTATGGTAATTTCTAGTGAATTATTCTCTCTAAAAAGTGATTTCTTGGGACAGTTTGGGCTTGATTTCCTCTAGGACCCATTTATACTTCCTGCAGTCCAAGGTTAAATGCAATACTTGCCTTCATCAACACATCTCAAATGAATTGAGTCTCTTTCTAGACTACCTTCACCGTCCAGCTTTCACAATCATAAATAAAGGGGGAAATACAATGACAAAGACAACCCTGGATGTTTATTTCTTGGGAGGAGAGCAATGACCAATTTCAACAAAATAGTGAAGAGTAGTCAAAATCATGCTGGCAACGATACAATGCCGGGACATAAATAGATTATACACATACATAAGCATTAAAATCCTTTATCTCAACATTAAAATCCACTGTTTAAAACCATCTTGATCATCCCCATTGAATCTAGTTGGCATGGTAAGGTTTCATATTGCTGACTTATTGCACTGTCCGAAAAGCTTGGTCCCACAGCCAAGTTTTTACCATCCTTCTGAAAGACAGGAAGGTTTGCAAGCTTGGTAGTTGATTAAATGTCCTTTGACCAGTATCTGGCCACTTGGAGTGCTTCTGGTGTTGCCGCAAGAAGGTCCTCTATTGTGCATGTGGCAGGGCTCAGGGTGCATTGCAGCAGGTGGTCAGTGGTTTGCTCTTCTCCACACTCGCATGTCATGGATTCCACTTTGTAGCCCCATTTCTGAAGGTTGGCTCTGCATCTCGTGGTGCCAGAGCGCAGTCTGTTCAGCACCTTCCAAGTCGCCCAGTTTTCCGTGTGCCCAGGGGGGAGTCTCTCATTGGGTATCAGCCATTGGTTGAGGCTCTGGGTTTGAGCCTGCCACTTTTGGACTCTCGCTTGCTGAGGTGTTTCAGTGAGTGTCTCTGTAGATCTTAGAAAACTATTTCTTGATTTAAGTCGTTGACGTGCTGGCTGATACCCAAACAAGGGATGAGCTGGAGATGTCTCTGCCTTGGTCCTTTCACTATTGGCTGCTACTTCCCGGCTAAACAGTGCAATGCCGGCTAAACAGTGTAATTTCTCCAGTGGTGTAGGGCGCAGACACCCCGTGATAATGCGGCATGTCTCATTAAGAGCCACATCCACTGTTTTAGTTGGTGAGATGTGTTCCACACTGGGCATGCATACTCAGCAGCAGAGTAGCATAGCACAAGGGCGGATGTCTTCACTGTGTCTGGTAAACTGAGTCAGGGCCATTTAGGGCTTTATAACCCAAAGCCAGCACTTCGATTTGTGCTCGGTAGCAAACTGGCAGCTAGTGGGGCTGGTGTAACATGGGAATTGTGTGCTCCCTGTATACCGCTCCAGTTTTTAACCTGGCTGCCTCTCATTGGACTATTTGAAGCTTCCAAACAGTCTTCAAAGGAAACCCCACATAGGGTGCATTGCAGTAGTCTATCCTAGATGTAACAAGAGCGTGGACCACTGTGGCCAAGTATGTTGTCATTTGTATATCTTAAAATGTTGGTGCTCCTTCCTTCAACTTTCATACCTCACATCCATGTTCTGTTATACCTGCAGCAGCCTTGAACATAAAGCTAAGCCAAGAAATATTGAGTTCAGATTTCAAGGATGAGTGAGATGCTTGAACCTGGGACATCTAATGCCATTATGGTTCTGCCTCTTAGATTGCTTCGTGCCCTTAAGAAATACATTTTCCTGAGTAATTTTCCCTCTGTTAGTGGAAGGCTTGTCTCTAAAGGGATACAAAAGAGGCATGTGGAGAATAAATGTAAGGAAGGGAGAGGGACACCCAACAGAAAACGAGATTTGAGTCCTGTGAGATTGTGCAAAAGGGTGGTGTACACACAGTGAGGGGAAGTTAGATTTGGATCTGCTAGTGGTTCAGCAAAGATTTCTGATTGTAGTTTGATAACAGGAGAGACAATAAAACTCAATTTTTGCCCTACATTACACTGCTGCAGCCAGAAAGAAAAGAATAACTCGCCCGAAAAGAATACTACTCTTGATAACAAATTCTTGGATACCTGCATACTTTGCTTCTAAGAGTGCATCTTGTAGAATGAATGCTTGAATTGTCATGTCCCAATGCTATGGAATCTTGGGAGCTATAGTTTGGTGACGCACCAGCACTGGCAGAGAAGACCTTGTAGAACTAAAAGTTTCATGATTCCATAGAATATGGCAGTTAAAATGGTATCAAAACCGTATTGATTCAACAGTGTGGATGCACCCTACATCTATACACTGGGCCTCCTAGGTAGGCCAGCAAGGGAGAGAAACCTGCTCACCTTCCACCTGTGGAAGCTGTGAAGGAGTGTCATAGATCAAGGATCAGAAAGAGTGGACCTGCTACAAAATCTTGAATTCACCAACGGGAAGCCCTTCCCTCCCTCCCTGCATCCCGTCCAACTCTCTTTGTAAGTGATCTAAATGCGTGCTTGGGCCAAAGGAACCTAATGCGCAGCAGGGCACTGGCAGGCCTCCGGCTGACCCCAGGTGGCTATTTGAAG